AAGCCAGGGAATCCTTCAGCTGCCCGCCCAAAAAAACTTTTTCTATGAAGATTCCAAAAGACTTGTCGCCGAGAAAAAACAGCGCAACTTCAAAAGAACCCTCTGCCTTAAAAACAGCATTGTATCTTTAAAAAAAATTTATCAAAACAGAAAGAATAGATAAAAAAGAAAAACATGGTAAAAGTTACCAGTAAAAAAAGTTCAAGTCTCCCAAACAGTGTTACAGGAGATATGATTAACAATTTGTGTCTGGTAAAAAAATGGTTGACCTTTTTGGTCCGTAAAAAACAGTGTACCCTTCATTTGCAAAGAACCAATGCAAAGTTAACAAAATAGCTTACGCTGACAAAAGTGATTATCAAAGACAGTAAATGAATAAATAAATAGATAAAAGAGATAAAATAAAACAAAATAATATGGAGCAAAACAACATAAAATAAAATAAAATGACTGAGACTTCGACATTTGCAAAAGTTATAGTGTTTTTCAGAAAAAAACCTGAAAACACGAATGAACAAAGTGCTTACTAACCTTTGAAGATGTCGTCCAGCTCTTCTTTGGCAAATTTAAGGCTAAATAAGTTTTCCTGACAATTTCCCAAATCGAATGTGCAAGTGTTGAATTGACATCGAAATAGCGGAGCTCTTTCAGAGGTTTTGGTGCGTTCAAAGCATTTAATGAGGATATCGCCGCGTAACGGCAAACCAAATAAATCAATTACCGTCTGATTTTGAGCGTGCCTTAAAACAAAACGTTCAATTTGAACCATCAGTAAATGAAACTAGGTGAAATTTACATCGCTAAAATTAACAGGTGCAAAAAACGTTAACATTTAAACAAAGAAAAAGAAAATGAAGGCAACAATAAAGAAGCAGTATCTTCGGCGACAGCAGTACATTTAAGCTTCAACAAAAAAAAATCCTTCCTTCAAAGCAAAGAAAGTAACCTATTAAGTGGACGGTATTTCGGTTAAATCGAGTTGTTGCATGAGTAACCTTTACTGCACAGTAAACAACACTGGGCAAATAATGTCATTGTTATCCTTGCCAGAGATTTGTTGTTGAAAAGGGACGTGCAAAAAATGTGGTACTTTCAGCGAGGTTTTTTAATCAGAAACAAAACGGACATTTTAACTGTCCATCTTCTACGTTTTGAGCATGGAGAAAAATGCGAGAAGTGAAATTGCAACTACCCAATCAAAAATTCAAACACAGAGCTGAATATATATATGGGAAAAATTGCTTGAAATGTTGAATTAATTTAGAAGGCAAGACTGTGGCTTTTCCAATCTCAATCATGAGACTACAGTTAAGCATTTAAAAGTTGCAGATAAAAATTATATCTCTTTCGATACTTCCTAAAAAAAATTTTGGGAAAAAATTCAACAAGTACTGTTATTATAAAATTTAACCTCTCACTAACTTTCACTTTTTTCTTTCATTTTTCGTAATAGAAAATTTCATAAAAAGATTGAAAAGAAGAATGTCAAACGAGGTTCCTATTACTAACAAATGTTGGAATATTTTAGAATTTATGGCTTGCGCGAAAAATTCAATTAAATTTTGTTTTCTCAGAATACTGGGAAATAGTAGATGATGAGGAAAGCTGATGCAAACAGTCATTCTGAATACGGCATTAACAGCAGCAATTTGCAAATTATAGTGCCTTCATCCAAAAAGGAATTCTCTAATATTATTCATCTCTTTACTGGCGATTTGCATGTGGGTAAGGAAGAGGTAAGTTTCGGTGAAATGGCAAAAAAGACAACTAATTCCCATTATATGCGATAATTAGGCGCCTTATACGTACAAAAAAATAAGAAGAAATATTACATACACAATTTGTGTAGACTGTGTTGGCTGCATTCCTTCATAGATCTTGAACAACACGTTCCTTCCAGAGAAATTGGTAAGTAAAATCTGATTTAAATACACAGTTGCAGCACTTATTTTTTGAGTTCCAGATAAGAGTGCGGCAAAATACTTGATATACCTAAAGATGGTAAAAAATCCATCAAAACTTTATTCTTGTATGTTTCTTCTTCTTCCACTCCCAAACATCGCTAAAATTACAGAACAACCTTATTATCAACAGACAACATTTACGGATGAACCTTTTATGTGATGGTTGTCCTTCGGGGCCAAGGAAACGTTGGCTGAATCGCTGCATAGCAAAACAGTCTGGCGAGGAATCATCGCTAAAACAGAACTTTTTCTCTTAGAATTTCTCATGTTGAAGCCATTATATATTAATATAAATAAACCACAGTAACCTGAAATCTCATTCTATTTTCTGTTTAACTTGATAGTCACCTAAGTGTAGAGTTTATATAATTTTTTCCTTCTCTTACTTCCTGTGAAAACTTTCTTAGTTTTACTGAACAAATGAGTGCTGCATGAACACGAAAAGCCAAATCACAAGACAGTTTCGTATACTCTGAAACGCTGGTGTAGACGACCGGGTAACACCGTTCAAAGGTTTTAGTTTCATTTTATCGTTACCCTAATGAAAGCTACATAAATTTTGGTTTGGTAGAATGAAAAAGTCGTTTTCTTTAAAACTGTCTTCAATCTGATTTACAGTATAATTAAAAAATCAGTTTACTGTTTTTAAATGCTGCTCAAGCAGCAGCAAAACAACAATTCAAAAGGAAGAAAAGAATGCAAGCAAATTTTGATTGTCGTGTTTTTTGCCTCGAGCGTCGAAAACTCTTTAATGTCAAGTAGCAACACCGGAGAGGTCGTCCTTAAACCGTTCTTCAAGGAAAATTTCTAGTTGTAGCCATTTCAAAAGCAGCTTTGTTGAAGTAGACATAATAATGGATGGAGGAGAAACAAATCAGACAACATGCATTCCTACTATCAAAAAATAGTTTTCGGAAGAAAACTTTATAACACTATCCAATTCCTGCTTTTTAAATTCAACTTCAAAGTAACTATATACGTTCAAAAAAACAGTGTGATAAATTTAACTTCGAAAGCTACTTAGAAGATTTTTTTCAAGTACTTTCCCTGCTCACTGAAAGACCCTCCAACCAAAAACTTTGTACATTTTATCGCCTGACGCTAAGAAATGTGCACTAAGAGTATTAAACCGCCATAAATGATCTCCTCAACAAAATCTTCATTACGGTTTATCCAAAAAACCAAACATGGTCTTATACTCTAAAAGGAAAAAATCTTTAAAAAGGGCAGCTGTAAAAGAAACAAAAATTTTGAGAAATACATTCGCGCAACAGAATTCTTTGAAGTACTTCGCATTTCTAAAATGCATTTATTGCTACCTCAGTTTCGTCTTCTTGAAAACTGTTTTACCTTGAACCACTAAGACCAAAGCATACATTTGGCTGCAGTGATACCTTCTTCATGATGTTTCGGAGAATTACTCTAATAATATTACTGAAGCTAATCGTTATTGCTTCCTCGCACCTAATAACTGCCAGTACCACCCACTAGCTAAGAAACAACAAAAGAATGAGAAAACCAACTGTCCGCAGATGCTGATGTACTGTTTGTAGGCTGAGATAACAATGGCTGCTCGAGAATGTCCACCTTTGCAGTGTATAACTACCACATTTCGGGCAGATGCAGCAAGCCAAGTTTCAATCATCTTACACACGGTACAAAGCCGATCTAGTGGCGGAGCCAACTCTTCTGGCCATCCAAATTCTTCAACAGGGTGTATACGAGCCAAGTCATTTCTTTTTTTCGATACATTCAAAATCTGAACCAAATTACAAGGTTACTTCTTCGACTTAAATTTGAGGGCTAAATGTTAAAATGATATCATAACAATTTCAAAAATTTCTAATTTCAAAAAATTAAATAAAAATTTGTTGTAATTTAACAGAGCAAAATCTACCCTGAATAAAAATTCTTGATCATCCATAAAATTGATTGCTTTTTTGACGCAGAGAGGCGCAATTTTAACTACGAATAGATAGGAAGAAAGTGACAAAAATAAAAATTACTAAAATCAAGAGAATTGGAATAGATGATAGAACACTGACAAGCTCAAAAACTACATGCACAGACACGCTTGCATGAAGAAATTACTTCTCAAAAATAAACGGATTAAAAATGAATGACTAATTGGACTGGCAAATAGGTTCTGATTGGAAAATGATAGGGAGGTCTTAACGGTCGATAATCGAGTGAAGAGTAATTAAAGGAAGAAGCAAAACGTTTGTATTCTCTTTGTGCGTCTATGTGTACGTCTTCTTGGCTCAACACAGTTTTAAAATCAAGGCAAAAAATGTTTCACAATAAGCAGAAAGCACAACATTATTTAACAAAGTTACAAAAAATTAAAGATTAAGGCTGAAAAAAAAAGATAATTCCTTACTTGAAAGAGTTTCAAAAAATTTAGAAACCAAAAACATTATTGTGACTTTGTAGTACAATGTGTAGTAGCTCTTTAACTTTTTTTTAAACACTATTTTGGAGTTCAGAATTGGAAAGGAAGAGCGACGAATTTTAAACGAAGTCGGTTTACTACTTTTGATTTATAGATAAACATTCGCCCGGTTTGTTAAACAAGTATCTGACGTACAGCACAGTAGCAACAAAGCAGACCTAACCAGAAATAGAATTTCATAGCTTATAGACGGTCGGTCCATTCAGTGTCATTAAGCTGGTAAAGTCGACTTATTGCAGTGGTAAAACAGTTAACCTTGTAACATTCCGGATAATTTTTCCGTAAAGTTGACGTCATCTCTTTAAAGCCGGCTCTGTACTGAACATCAGTAATAACATCCGGAAACAATACAACTAAACAGAATTAGTAAGCACACAAAAAACTATAAATGGTTTTATGCCTATACACTTGAATAAAATCGTTGTCTCAACTATCAGCAGATAATCAATTTCTAAATGCTGGACAATCTGTACCTTCATCTTTTATTTGATATAATTGATAAAAACGTAAATAAATTCGTAACTTCAGGTAGGTTTTTTATGTTGCAGTCATTCACTTTTGCTCGCCACTTCTGTTCTTAGCGAAAGTGACGATGCAAAGAAAAAATGCTGCTAAACTACGGCCATCTAAACGCTAATAAACTTCCACTGTCTCAAATAAAGCAATAATTCCCTCTTTTCAATTTCGCCTTTGCTGTACGTTTCTGCACCAGGTTAAAGAGACTGCAAGAAATGGCTTTACAACAAGTCAACAACCTCACCTATAATTCGTCCAGTAACATACTCCAGTTCCATTGGATTACACAATGGATTTCTTTTACAACTTATAGTTGTCAAAATATGCAGAAAACCACCCGAAGGTTTCTGAAAATAACAGGTAATAAGCAGATGCTTTCTGATGCAGCAGACAAGAGCACAAAATAAAGTCGCAAAAGCAGAATGATATATATAAATATACTTTTCAGTATACTCGAAGAGAAAATTTTGCTAAGCAGTAATAAGGTTTTCACGTTAGTCTAGGCAGTCCAAACAGACCGCAGCACATTGACACCGAAACAATAAGATGTCGAAAGTTTAAGGAGCTGTTGGCCTAGATCTAAAGCGTTCTGCCAACGAGCCTTCAACATCCACCAACTGTTATTTTTCACAAACCGTTTTGTTACTAATCAAAGTATACCGTTATGTCAGTCGGCTCCTATGAAAAACTAAAATAGCGCTTTTTCTTCCTTCTTCTTCCCTCCGCTTCTACTGTTCTTGTTCCTCACTGGAACAATTTGGACCAGCATAAAATCATTTAAAAAACATTTTACTTTTAGACATTACAAAAAATATCGCGAACTATGCAAGAATGGCTTTACGAATTGGTACTCCTATTGATTTTCTTCTGAAAAAACGAATATAGTCAACTTTTTTTGCCCCCTTATATCAGTTTCGCTTTTTTCAAGCCTGCAAAAGTAGTCAACAGAGATCAAAACAATTATTTAGAACTTATTGAGAAAACCGAAAGTACATCGTCAGCTGGAAATACGTTGTCAAGATCTCTCTATAATTCTAAAGAAAGATTTGAAGTAAGTTTAAAAATTTAATGAAAAGGGCTGTACTTCTTTCTTGTTAAACGAATCACTGTTTAAAAGAAATTAAATTGAAAATAATTACAAAGTTGGTTTGGGTGATAAAAATAAGAATTTTCGGGCTTATTGTTGGCATAGAAATTTTTGTTATTTCGTCTTGTTTGAATTTCAGTGAGAAAAACCACTGCTGTTGCTCGATAAGCAGCAATTATTCTGAACCAAAGGAAAAAACGGGAAAGGAAAACATCGCCTTTTAGCTCATTTTTATCGTCTGACTTTGTAAACTTGAAAAAAGTAAAAGATTTTTTGCTGTTCACTCTTCAGTGCTTTGATATTATACATGTTCTCTTAAAGTCACTTATCCCTGATAAGTACAAAAAATAGATAGACCTGCGATGAATAAAAATGTTGTAAATCAGATGGAATAACTGATGGACTGCTGAAAAAAGTCTGTCATAAGTTATACTCCGAATGTACCAATGCAGAAACCAAGATACTCAGCAGTTTGGTGTGTCAAATGTTGCACAAATCGAAAAAACTTTTCAGTAGTTGAATTTCCGATCGCACCATATTCTGTCACTGTAAAACGCAGGGGGAGGATCGAACAAAATAGTAGACTCGCGTAAAAGGAACTTGGTTAAAGAAGTTCACTTTTACAACTAGCGATTTACAATTACTGCTTTTTTTCTCAATACCTTTTCTGGTTTAGGTTATTTTAAGTCATAGTCAGTCCATTCCAGCAGAATAGATTATGTTTTTTACAGTCCTACTAAATGCATATACTGCATATGCTTAGTTGCTACCACCTCCTTCAAAAATATGTCCTTCCTTTCATATTCTGAATAAAATTAAAAAAAAATTAAGAAAATTCTTCCTTTTTTTTTCGTTTATAAAAATTAAAATCAATTCATTTTACTTATGGGTTAAAAACTCCTGAAAGCAACATAAAAAAGCCACCAAAGAAGTTTTGATTTTTTCCAAAAGAAAAAAAAAGCAAAAATAAGAAGGATTATTTTGAAACTAAAAATGACACTAACAAATCTTTCTCTCCTTTTCTCAGGTTCAATTTAATAACCACATTGAACATTTTTTTTGAAGATACCAAAGGGACTATGCCAAAAATGTTTTCAGCAGTGCATTTATCTGTCCCAAAGATGCACCAAGTGCTAAGCAGGAGTTCCTCCTTCGTTCTGTACACCAATTCTTACACATATTTTCATGAAAGTTTCTTTCCATGGTTTTTTTACAACCGAAAAAATATAAGTCAATGAAAACAACGAAGTAGGATTAGGCAGCCAAAAAAGTGATTTACTAATGCTAAGAGCAAACAGCATAGCAAACGTGAACCAAATTGGCTGACTTAGAATTTTTAAGCTGCTAGCTGACTGTTTACAGGCGTAACTGGTGGTAATCTGTTGTTACAACAACCTATAAATTGTGCCAGTCGTTGACTACCAGGCAAACTTTTTAGCTGTTCTTCTGTTCCTCTGACCAGTCGCGCCGTTAGAAAGCAACATATCGGCAGCTAAATTTAGCAAGAGCTCAGTAAAATGACTCATTTTTTCTGCGCAGTAAATGCAACAGTGCTAACATAGTGAAACTTTCCCTTATCAAATGCTAACCAGGCCATTCCAGAATTTTCAATGCCGACTGTGCGTTAAACAGTAGAGACTTGAATACTCAAAAACTTTAGATTTTTAAAGACGTTCAAATCAGAAATTGTTAACAAAGAAAACTGAAAAAGATACCTTTTTTTTTACCGGTCTTTCGTATTCCAAAGGTTGGGTAGTCTGCAAAACAAAAAAACTGCTTTTTTTTGAAATTATTTTAATTTTAAAACATCCAGTTCATTTCAAGAATCATGTCCCAAACACTTGTTCTATTTGTACTTACTTTTTCCACATAACCTGAAGTCTTGTAAAGTGGAACTAGTAAAAAATGAAAACGAAAGTGAAAACAGAAAACAACATGAAAAAGACAGAACTAAGACCAGTTGAAAAACCTATCAACATACAGGCGACTGATTCATTTGCACAAAAATCTGCAAATTTTGTCTGTTTGTTCAGAGTTCTAATTTTTAAAAGAAAGTAAGTTGAAAAGAAGAAAATACTCAAGAAACGAAAATGCTTTGACGAACAAGGTCTATTTTTTGACCATTTCTCAAACACTGTTAGAAACACCCGATAAAGTCAATGTATCAGCAATAAATACGTATGTCCCACCATACTAGCTACAATCAAAAAAGAAAAAAAAAACAAACCATTATGGTGTTTCTGTTTGGATAATTTAGAATCGCAAAAAATTATAGACGAACAGCACTAGTGTAAACACGCTGGAATTTACCTGGTTATGAAGTTTGTTTGAAATTCTGAAGCAAAGCATATTGGTTGTGATGTAATTTCTTCCGACAGAACTGCTACACGAATCAAAACAGCAACGTGCTCCCTATAAAAACCAAAAATTTGCCATAAGATTAAATAAAGTTAGGCGGCTATTGGTGAAGCTGATAGATTCAGGAGCATTTTTAAATAGAAGCAGACAGATGTTGTGGGCACACTGCAACACACTTGTTTTATCCGTCACCAAAATCGCTGATATTAGTTAGAAAGCTTAGACTTGCCTCATTCAGTGGTAATTTTTAGGTCAACCTAGGCTTATGAAGGCACCAATTACCGTCTGTATAACTACTCGATCTGTGAGGTGGCCGGCTGCCTGGTTGGTTTCACAGCGCTGGCCGATCAACTAATAGCAGTAGCGAGGTTGACGCCGACTTCAGCCGCTTATTAACGTTGAAGAAACATTTTGGTGGTGAACTAAAGAACGGCAGATATTTAACTGCGATAGCCCAAAAATTACATTTTTGCCACTATTCTAAACGGCCGCTGCTGGCTTCCAAAAACCATTCTCCGCCCTTAAAATCTTCACATTTCTACACAAACTCGACTTCGTCGTCGTTTCGTTCCCGCTACTTATCTTCCTCTGCTTTTATCGTCAACTTCTTGCTTACGACACTGTACACGATAGTCAGTCTCTACTACGTTGTTTTAGAAAACTCACTTTTTCTGCTTGGTCATTTTATAATACCAACACTTTTGAACTAGGGGATAGCTAGTTTGAAGGAATAAAGTAGAAATAAAGAAGTTGGAGAAATGATATTCCAAGGTGCTTCTTGTTCAACACAAATTCTCTCGTCGCTTCATTCCTTCACACTTATTCATTTTCAATCCTAAGCATGGACTAAAACGCGGTTTTATTGGCCTAACCACAACCGACTTTCTCTTCGGCAGCTAGAAACTTATTGATTTGTTTCAAATTCTTCAAACGACGAGAAAACAAATTTTGTTTCGGGCAGTTTATTTAAACAAAAAAAAAAACATTCAACAGATTAGTCGTGTCGTACTAAATCGGTGACTAGTGTGTGAAAAAAAGGCATACTAGGAAAGGCAAAGAGAGGGAGAGGGATGAGTAGACGAAAAAGAAGGTGAAAAAAATTTTTACTCACTTTAACACTGTTCTATACTTCTGTCTTTGTTTAAGTGTAGAAATAATTGAACAAAAATCTAGTTGAGTAAGAAGACTCTGAAGTCGTCAGTACAGAAGTGCTTGTTTATTCGGTTGAAAAAAAAAAAACAACGCTTACCTGTTCTCTGCTACTTTTGTTTGCTTAAATTTTTGATGATGCCTGTCACTTTTAAATAACGTTAAAGGTTTTCTCTATTTTTTGTGGCGAAATGTAAGTTAATTAGAAATTACTTTTTCTGGTTTATGTAAGTTTAAAGAATTTAGGAAACTAAGTTCTGTAACATTACTCGTAGAAGGTGACCTATTTTTGTAACCAAACCCTAGCATTCTGCTTATCGTCTTCGCAGTCGCATTTACTTTGCCCTAATAATGACTCAAGTTTCAAAGAAATACTTTTTTTTACCCCTATAAATGCACTTCTTGTGATCATCTATACGGTATTGAACTGTTACAGTCAAATCGTTACCTGTAACGGCTATGCTGGTCATTTCCTGGGATTCTGTGATAACAGATCGAACGTTTTTGTCGAATAAATAAGAGAGACGCTAAATAATTTAGAAAACGTTGTTTTACATTTCCTTAAAAAAACTAACGTTGTAGTGGAGTTCAAAAGCAAAAATGATGGGCTTGATTTCATTATTTGCAGTCACTTTTAATCTTTTCTTACACCTACGCTTTGCTCATCACTCTCTGGTCACCATT